CCTATTTCCTTGCTGTCCTATAGGAGAGTTTCTGCATTCTTGGTTATGGTACCCACACCATCCCCCAGCAAATTGACATCAGCTTCTAACCGAGTCATGTGCCTTCCTAAAGTCCACAAATAGATGGTGTATTGACCCATTACACTCTCACTTTTTCTCTAATATTTGTCGAATGCAAAATATCTGATCAATAGTTGACCTATTATGGCAAAATCCACATTTATCATCCCCAATAGTTTCATTCTTAAATGGCGTTGACCGTGCCAGAAGACTATTCGATAAAATTTTGTATAACGTCAACAAAAGGGATATACCTTGGAATTTACTGCACTCAGTTTTTGTCACCTGATTTATGGGTAGGGAGAACAATTAATTCTTTCCATTGTTGTGGTAGTACTTCCTGGTTCCACATCGAGACTCTCTGTGTGCAGTCCTATCACCTGTATTGATTAGTTCCGTTGGAATTGCGTCTATACCTGGAGATTTATAACTTTTTAATTTCCCAACGACAATTTCATCTTCATTAAGGCTCGGTTCCGGGATGAAGGGCTCTGCTGTATGTACTTATGTTCTTTAAATTGATCAGCTACGTGAACGTTTAGTAACTTACTGTCTGTGATGTCATGTGAGTCCGCGAGCAGATCCCCAATCTCGTCCTTGATCAAATGTATCCTAGGTTTTTACCCCTTCTTAAATTCACATATGCCTCTCTTCAACTCTCTGATGTTTTTATTTTTGTTGTTAGTTTCCAACTGCCCTATCTGATATTTGAAATTTTCTTATTCCTCAAAGTTCTCCTGGTTTCGCGCCTTACGCTGATATACCTATTCCTCTATATTCACGTAGCTATTTCAGTCTAGCGTGCTACCTCCGTCTTACGAAGATAGAGAATTTTTCATCAAACCATGCTTTATTTCGCGAAATTTTATTATACCCTACACTCTCCTCAGCTGAAATTTTCATGTTATCCCATATATTTCCCTGTGCCTTTTTGACGCCTACTTCCCTATTATCTGTATTCTCTTCAACGTTCTCTACGATTGCAAACTATTCGAAATTTTTACCTGATATTCTTGCATAGTTTAAACATCGCTCATTCTTTTGACGTTGAAATTATCAATCATGTATATCTGCCCACCTGTTTTCTGGTCGAGAGTTTTGCTATCACTAAATAATGACCACTATCAGAGTCCGTTCCCCGATTAGATCGCACGCCTACGATGTTTGTCTCCACCGATCCATTAGAACGTGATCGATTTGATTATGGGTTATCCCATCAGGGTAAGTGCAGTTGTACTTAGTGTAAGTCATTTTTACCATTTCGCATGGTTTTATACGCCTGACATGTTCATCTAATTTATGATCCCACTTACTGATTAAAATTGGATTTGGGTTTTAGTAGTGCTGATCTAGAGAATGCACAGAGCTTTATCTCTAAATCCCCTGCATATCTTTACATAATTATGCTTAGGCATTAACTTTTACTTTTATGAGATGGATGAGACATGTAGCATGTATGAGGAACTTGGAAAAATATTAATTTTGATCAGAAACAGTAAAGTAAGTAGCCACTAGGTAATCTTAGAGAGACAGAAAGAAAGAAAAACAAAGTTTTTAGAGAAATAGGGTGCTGTGGCTCACTGTCCTGAAGATGGAAGCAGCAAGTACCTTTGCAACATCAGTAAACTTGGTGAAAGACTCACGGGTTACAAGCCGCGTCATGTGACTTTGTAACCCGAGTCTCTTTCATCAACTTCAGTCGCCGCAAAAGCTTCACTTTATACAATGTTTTCTACATTTTCCGGTACCCTTTACGGGTCCCCAACTTTTTAGTTGGCTTGATCTATGGACATTTGGTAGGACTCCTTGGACGAGGGATCGGCCCGTCACAAGGCCTCTACCTATTTACAGGACAGCACAACACAGAAAAACATCCATGGCATGAGTGGGATTCGAACCCACAGTCCCCGCGACCAAGCGGCACAAGACCCACACCTCAGACTGCACAGCCACTGCGGACCCCCAATTTATATTCTGTTCCTCAAATAATGTGCCATTATGACAAGAAAACATTGATATTATGTTGAGAGAAGTACTATTTTCTGCTAGTTCCTAATATAGTTACTAGAATACAAATGTCACTTCCTGTATTCAAACGTTCTTACTTAATCACCGCAAACACATTATGTCATAACCACATGACTTGAACTTGACAGCGTTTTGGCGAAAGTGCATAACGTTCATAGAGGCAATAATGATAAATAAGTCACAGCTGGAAACAATAATGGAACAATGTACAGAGCAATGAACAAACTTACAGTGATCTAAAATGATTCTAAATAGAGGTCTACATTATCAGTGTGCTAAGGTGATGCACATCTGGCTTGAATGTACTTCACATTTCAACACACAGGTGATAAAGCTTTATTGTGCCATAGATATTGAAAGTTAGCTTACTTTTTGTGTCAAAATCATTAAAATGTTTAAGATTATTTGTCCTCAAGTTATTTGAAATTACTGTATAGTCAAGTGTTCATTTTACATTATTTTGGCTTATATTGGTGACTTTTTTTTTAATGCTAGAATCTTTGTTTTCAGTAGTTAATATATCCATGTTGAATTTCTTTGCTGTTTGTAGTTCATTCTACTAAGTAGTCGTTGTTATTACATGGTTACCAGCAAACAGTAAAATGTTCAAATTTCTGTCTTCTGGGTTGTTGCGCTGTGTAGTCTGTTAGAAGTTTACCAACGTTTCATAGGTATGTAAGACTTGAGGTTCTCACAGCGGTGAGTATGAATATTTCTGTCGTCTGGGTTGTTGCGCTGTGTAGTCTGGAAGATGTTAACCAACGTATCAGAGGTCATACTGCCTCCGTCATCATCGCCCTGATGACGGAGGCAGTATGACCTCTGAAACTTTGGCAAACATCGACCAGACTACACAGCGCAACAACCCAGAAGACAGAAATCTTCATACTCACCGCTGCGAAAACCTCAAATCTTACACGGTAAAATATTCAGTTGCCCTCATTTAGTCAATTCTTATTTCAGGGAGATCTTGAAGTTGAGTGATGGTGGACAGGTGGCATTGGATTGGCTGGAAGAAGGCTGTCCTACCAATGCACCAATTATCATCATTCTTCCTGGTTTGACAGGGGAAAGCCAGGCAGAGTATGTTAAGTGCCTAGTAAATTCAGCCAGCCGCATCAAGTTAAGAGTGGTTGTCTTCAACAATAGAGGTCTTGGTGGGATTTCTTTGAAGGTGATATAATTAAGACAGCTCTTGCAGATGATGTACGGATGATTTGATGGTCTTGTTGGCTCACAATATTTCATATAAAACAATGAACAGTAACAGTTATAAGAAGGCTTTGGTAGAAAGATATGAATAAGAGTATGTCAAAAAGAACCTTATGGAAACTGAATGTGACTTGTTCAAATTGATGGTGTTCAATGACCAAGTTGTATGGACGTTTCCAGAACAACAGAAAATTATGTCATGAAACTTAATGTTATGATGTAACCACATCACAACGCATTACTCAGAACCAAAATATTTTTGATGCACTTTACTTTTCTCTCTACCCCCTGTATTGATATGACCAGTAGTGTGACCATTAGTTATACCAAGTTTCATATACCTAGGGGATGTGTTTCATTTTCGTCATCAGGCGATGCTGAACAGCCAGAAATTTGATTCTGAAGTTGAATATCCAAGAAACTGGTGTCTCTGCAAAATTATGTCAAGTTTTACTCTACATAACGGACTGTTTCCAATTATATCTCAACAGAAAGCAGTATTAGTTGGTTCATATACATTGCTGAACAATTTGGTTGTTGTTGTTGTGTGTGCGCACGTGCATGTGGGTGTGGTGTATGCATGTGTGGCTTCTTGTTGTTATCTTTTCAGAAGTATGATTTTCCTTTGTGAAGTGTTTTATTTTGTAACACATGGCTGGGCTACAGGAACTGTGCAAGCTTAATGGGTCTTAATGTGGTAACTGGTCAGGGAAGTTATCTACATCTTAACGAGTACTTCTGGGAAGAACTTATAATTCCCACTTTCCCCTCAAATCCTACAGTTTATATGGTGACAGTAGTAAGATGTATAAATTAGTAATTATACAGTTTTATGATCCATTTATGGGTGTAATTTACACTAGTACATAACCATGATAAAGAGGTCACATATAACCTCAAAATTTTTATATACAGTGTCCCAAAAGGATGCCTACACACAAAGTTAATACTCTATATTATAATGTGTGATGTATAATTTTTTGTACATCTTGTATATTTGTTTTATTAGTTTTAGTTTTATTTTAATGAGGATATTCCTTTGTTATTATGATTTGATTTTATTGGTTTTGTATTATTACCTGTTTACAAAGTTAACATCATATGAAACAAATAATTTCATACAGGATTTTTGGTATGTTGATTATCTGTATTCATCCAAAATCATGTTGACATTGACAAAAGGATGTTTAAGAAGTACATAAGTGGAGTGATCCCAAGTGGCTTTATATTCATACCAAGTATTATGAAAATTTGTCTGTTTGTTCAAAAGATGATACGGTTGGACAGGCACAGTGATGAAAATGCACATGGCTGTACACACATAACATGATGTCACTGTAAGAAAATTAGATTTTCTTTTAAAATAAGGAAAGTAGGCCAAGAAACAGATTAGTATTTTTAGACAATGTTCATGTTATGTAAAGGCCCAAAAATTTAAAAAGTCTTCAAGTTGTTGATATTGAAATGTGATGGATTGTTTGTTGTTATTGCAGACACCAAGAACATATTGTGCTTCAAAGTGTGATGACTTGTCAGAAGTTGTAAATCATATTAGGTCTCTGAATCCAGGGATCCCCCTTGTAGCAGCTGGTGTTTCTATGGGAGGGTATGTTGATTTTAAATGCATGTTGTGATATTAAGTACATAGAATGATGAAAACAATGTGGAAAATTCACCAAATCATTTCTGTCAGTATTACAAATAAATTTGTATGTATATAGAAAGGAATTGCTGTTTTGGCTGCCAGTGAATCTTAGAAAAACCTAACTTTGTACAAAATGGCTGCCACTTTTTTTATTGTAACCTGAAACTTTCTTATGTTTGGCTTGCTGAATCTTCTCAGCAGAGGAAAGTGTAGGCATATTTGTAATATTCCTTCACACACAATTTTTCATGCACAGCGTACATGCTGTACTTTGAAGACAGAAAAGTTTTATGAAATCTGTTGATACTTTTTGTGTTTTATGGTTGATTTCTTGCAGACTTATATTGGGCAACTACTTGGTATCACAGTTTTCTAAGCCAGACAAACCAATCTCAGCTGCTATGGTAATATCAGTACCCTGGAATGTATTTAAAGGCACAGAAAGCATTGAGAAACCAGTCCTCAACTTATTGTTGAATAGACATCTTGTTGGAGGTCTCTGTAAGAATATTCAAAGGTAATTAATACAATGTAATGTGGAATTTAAAAAGTTAATTTAACCATTTTATCCTTACTAGAGCAGGGCGCTCCTTTCGGAGCTCCTAGGGAGGGTTGGTCAAGTTTGTAAAACGCCACCATCCCCGAATGGGGGGGTTTAAACACTTGACAAACACCCCCTTTGGGGGGTTTGGTTGCGTTTTAAAATATTGAGTAAGACATTAAACTAACCCCCTTCGGAAGGGTTAGTTTAGTGTCTCATTCAAGTGTTTTAACCCTTGAGTAAGAAACTAAACA